TATTTCTTCAATGAACAAATTTAAAAATTTATTTTAAAATATTTTCATAATTTATATTTATTTTTATTAATTATATAAAGACACAAATTTAATTTGCAAAAATCTAATCATCTTATTTGTGATTTTACGATTTTTAATTTCATTTCTCCCTTCTACTCTTAGATAAAATCTTAATTTTTAGCATCTCAATTACCACATACTCTTATTTGGGTAATTCAATCGTTAATCAAAAGAAACAAATAACGCAGCTTAACGACTCGAAATCACCTCCACGCCATAATTTGCTTGTAAGAACATGTAAGGACACTTAATAATTAAAATGCAAAGCAATGGATTCCTACTGCTAAAATGAAAAAACCTTTATGTCTAAACTAAACAAATAGTTAAACAACACAATTTGGGAAAAAGCAGTCATTCACTTCAAACTAGCCAACTAAAGCAAAAATTTCGAAGTCCAAAACCCACATCATGAGACGGTAATGTTCAGATAGTGCCCAATAATCTTCCAAATTTAAAATTGAATCATAAGCAATTACAAAATAGTTTCGGACGGTCAAATCACATGATTAAACATCAATCCTTAAGTTTCTTATGCTTGTTCATTTATAATTGAAAGGAAAAGAAACAAATTCAAAGACAAGATTCAGGGTAACAAGTCTCCACAAATTCAATTAAAAAGAAATAATTTTAATGTCAAATAATTAATAGAAAAAAATGATTAATAATTTTAACTTTAAGAGCTAGATTCATACTTTAATCTTAGAATCAATTCCAAACTCTTTATGGATTAGGATTTACAACTTTTTACTGATTTTCTTGATTGCTTAACTTTAGTTCTAAATTTTTTTTTCTCAAATAATTGTTATTTTGTTAAACATAAATTAACAAAATTTTTAAGAAAAATCAAAAGAAAAACTTGGAAACGAATAGAAGGAAACGGCTACTTGCGAAGCCTGTGAGAGAGGGTTCGAATGAAGCCATTTAATTTCGTACTTGGCTGGGGAGCAGAAGCAACATTGTTGGCAACTTTTTTTTCTTTAGTACTTCTGGTTTCTCAAGCTTAACGTTTTGGTCTCATGACTCCTAAGTTCATTAATTTAGACCTGCAAGCAATTCCCAATGTCAAAGTTTTATAGCTCCTTGCAATCAAGTCCAATTTATTTCATTTTATTTCTTTTTACCCAATTAATTTCCAATTTTGTCATTCAAACTTTAAAATTGAATTTATAAAAAACTAATTGTATAATACCTAATCAAAATCAAATTATAACACACTAAACTAACAGTATCTTGTTAGAGTCATCAAGCCATTGGCTGGGCGCCTCTTTTGGGTTCGTAATAGAAAATACTAGGGGTGAGCATGGGTAGGTATGGGTCAAGTATTTGCCTATATCTGTACTTGACTTGAATAGTGATAAGTATAGAATTTCAATATCCAGTGTTTACCTAGGTATTAAAAATTTATACACATTATCCAACTTGTTCAGTACAGGTATATCCACAAGTATATTTGTATACTTACTAAATTTTACACTAAAAATACATAAGCTAATATATAACTACAAGTTCATACATATAATACAAGTTTATATATATAACAAAATACGTGAGCGTATACACTTACACATACATAAGTTTATATATACAATAACAAAAAAAATACAAATAAAAATTTACGTGATTTTCCTTCAGTTGAATCTTCACTGGTAAAAGAAAAGAAAAAAAAACCATAAACATTTTAATTTCATAACATTATATTACAAATTAATTGTATAAAATTAGAATATATGTTAGGTACATGGGTCAAATATATAAGTTAGGTATATGGGTTAGATATACAGATTACTTATGCAAATATTGAACTTCATACCCAATACTTATCTGATACCTAGTAGGTATGCATTTTTCATACCTGATATTTAACTATCTTTTCACATATATAGGTAAAATACCTACCTAAACAACTCAAGTACTCACAAATATTAGATATACCCATACCCAATACTCAGCCTTAGAAAATATGCTAAGCTCCAAATCACAACTTACAATCATAATAGTTAATACATGAGCCCTAGGTGCCACTATTGGACTATATAGAGAAGTCACGACACTAGATTTAAACAGTTCTATTTTATTTTTACACAGGATTGGGCCACTTTAAAAATGGGCTCTTTCACCCCTTGCCCTCCCCCGTTGTTTGTACTACCAAAACATAAAAGCGAAAAATCAAAACAAAATTTGATAAAATCAACACTCATCTCTTATATTTAAAAGTTATGATAAAATATTTTGATACTTTTAAAGATAACATATCTTAGTTTTTTATTTTCTCAAATCTATTATAGAAACAAAATCACACACAACATTTTTATTTGAGTGTATAAATATATTAGAAAAGTGAATTGCAGTCCGT